AGGATATCTTTTTTTCCCTGCTTTCCTTCTGTGAACAGGCATGCTTTTTTGTATACTTTTATTTCTTTAAAGTTTCACAGACGTCCTACAAAGTGCGAAGTTTTATTCCCATTTTGCAGGTGAAGTTAAATATTGGTTACATACATACACACCCTCAAAGTAAACACTGTGAACTAACCAGAACACTGGCCCAGAAGTTGGGCTGTGAGGAAATGCTCTCTGCTCTTAAAAGAAAGGACAGGACTGAAGCCAGAAAATGGCCTTGGCTTTCTGGTCAGAGTCCTCTGCGCTCCCAGAACCGGTCATACAGACTCCTCCGCATGCCTTCGCCTGTTCCTCACCAGGTCTCTGCTCAGCCCTGACCTGCCTCCTGAGATCTGTGACTAATCTCTGCTTCAGTTCATGCCGTTGCAGCTCCTAACCGCACATGCTGCCGTAGCCCCCACCCAGCCTCCCGGCCTGTGTCCTTTTCCCAGTTGTAGTCCACTTTGTACCCTGCCCTCAGCTTAATCCTGCTGGAAAGTCCTGCCCAGGAGCCTTTAGAAACTCCCAGTTGCCTACCAGCAAGGTCCAAGTCTACTAGCATGGCCTTGACTAGTGTGGACTCCCATTCTGACCCCCGACGGCCTTTATGCACTTGGTCCTGGGCTTTGTCTCACTCTCCCAGCCTCCCTGGTTTTCTGGGCAGTCCTGCCCAGATCCAGCTGCTGCAGCCCACAGCAGTGGGGATTGGAAAAGGACCTTTGGTTGCTTTTTTCCCCTAACAGCTTTATGAGGCATAAGTAATATATAAAGACTTGTGCATATTTAATGTCTACAAATCATTGTGTTTGAACATATGCAAACACCTATGATACCATCACCACATCAGAGCTTTCTTTTTCAAATAACAGCTAACAGATTTTGAGTATGCATATGGCTCAAAAATCAAATGATATAAAAGCGTGTTTCCCCCTTTACAGCTTGTTGCTCATCTAGTCCCCTTACACTGCCCCTCTCGCAGTAACCTCTTTTATTAGTTCCTTGTATATCATTTCAGGGTATCTTTGTGAATATACGCACATGTGAATATATATATTCTTATTCCCCTTCATTTTTATATGGAGGAAACATGCCAAACACACAGTTCTTCACCTTGCTCTTTCAACAAGTTTTCTTAAGTGATCTCTTTGTATCAGTACTTTGATTTTTTTGCTTTTTTTTTTAAAAATATATTTTATTGATTTTTTACAGAGAGGAAGGGAGAGAGATAGAGAGTTAGAAACATCGATGAGAGAGAAACATCGATCAGCTGCCTCCTGCACGTCTCCTACTGGGGATATGCCCGCAACCCAGGTACATGCCCTTGACCGGAATCGAACCTGGGACCTTTCAGTCCACAGGCCAACGCTCTATCCACTGAGCCAAACCGGTTTTGGCATTTTTTTTTGCTTTTTTATAGTTTCATGGTATTTCATCATATTCCTGTACCAAAATTTATTTAACTAGTCCCCTGTTGATGAACATATGTCATATTGCACATGTGCAAGTATATCTAGGATTATTGATTCATAGGATATATATTATTTGAAATTTTGATAGATGTCTTTTAGCTTTTTTAATTGATAGTTTTTAAATATCAAAAAAGCAGCTCAACTTCCACTTCTCCTAAAATCCCCAAACCAAAGGGAGCTCTCATCCTAATTTCTTCTGCTGTGTGTCTGTCACTCATTAGCAGTCACGTGTGTGTTATTTCCCTAACTGAAGTGAAAGAACTCCGCGCTTTCTTTCACATCCTCAGAACTTACTCTGGTACCTATAGATGCATCTGCTCAGTGATCAGATGTTCATGTCTTTTGTTCAAGAAGAGAAATCTCTGCTGTGGACCTGAACATAAGGAAGCTGCGTGCTACTTACTAGTGGTTTATTGAGACAAAGCTCTCTTTGGAGGGCAGATGCTCTCAGGCAGGCGCCACAACCAATTTTAAAATATTTATTGAGCATCAGAAATATAGACACAGTGAGAGGCTAGGGAGGAAGAAGAATGAGCAAGACAGGACTGGTCCTTATGAACCCTTCTCCAAGTTTACTAGGCCTTTATAATGTTTTAAACATATTTCAAAAATGTTTGTAATTGGGAAATTACATACATAAAAGTGCACAGATTTTAAGTACACAGGTGGAATGATTGCAAAATCTGCTTGAAACCTTTTTTGTTAGTTACTAAACTTTTAAAAATCTCTTGAAAAACTCATTCTGGTAATAGCTTCCCCTAAGTCAGGGTAGTCACTCCCCAATTTCTCTGTTCCTTTTTTCCTGTTCCCTGAATGCATTTATATTTGAAATCCCTGATCCTCAATAAAGTAGGATGTCTAGGCATCTGGGAGGCAGAAGGGGTTTGGGGTGGGAGGAGAGGTAATTGGAAGAGCAGAGATAAGAAGACTGACAAAGGAATTGAGCAGTATAAATTGAACACCAGCCCTAGCTGCTTGGTTCAATGGGTAGAGGGTCATCCTGCGGACTGAAGGGTCTTGGGTTCAATTCCAGTCAAGGGCACATGCCTGGGTTGCAGGCTCCATCCCATGTAGTAGGTGTGCAGGAGGCAGCCAATGATTCTCTATCATCATCAATGTTTCTATCTCTTCTTCTCCCTCTCTGAAATCAATAAAAAATATATTAATAAATAAATTGAACAACAGACTGCTTATCCATTGTATATTTACTTTTATTTTAACAAAGTTTGTTTGTTTATCCTCACCCCAGGATATTTTTTCCATTGATTGCTGGAGTGGAAGGGAGGGAGGAGAAGGGAGAGAGAAATATTAATGTGAGGGAGACATATCAATTGGTTGCCTTCCACACACACCTCCTGACCGGGCCTGGGGTTGTACCTGCAACCCAGGTACATGCCCTTGCCCTGGAATCCAACCTGAGACCCTTCAGTGCGTGGGCCAATGCTCTAACCACTGAGCACACCACCAGGGCACATGTTTATACTTTTTTAAAAAATCAATTTATTTTCTGCAGTTTAATCTCTTCAAGTACTGTGTTTTGTCTCCATCTCCTCAAATAGCATTGTTGGTGGTTAAAAACAAAGCATTAGTTGGTATTTTAAAGTGTAAAATTAAAACACCTGATGAATCTAAGCAGCCTATCAAAGCCATGACTCAGAACAAAACCCAATTGTAAAATGTTTATCTGATGTCACAGAATAAATTTTTAAAAAAGCCATTTGCCCTCTATAGTTTATCTCAGCTGCACCTGCCATCGAGAATGCTGCCCACACACAGGAACTGTTGTTTAAAGATTTTGCTGTTGATTCATCAGGCAGGCTCTCCAGGAATTATTTACACTTTAAATTATTATAAAAAATGCATGCACATGTTAAAAACCAAACACAGTTCTACAAAGCCATTTAGAAAATTAAATCTTCTCATTCTTTGTCATCTCTTACCAGAAACGATCAGTATTACCAGTTTCTTGTATATTCTCCCAAAGATACTCTGTGAATAAAAAAGCATACTGCATGTGTGATGTGTGAACACAAACACACACCAAGCCCTCCTCCATTTCTACACAAATGGCAACAAGCTGTGTGTTCTGCACCTGTTTTGTTTTCATTTTATTTAACATCTGGGTTGTTTTGTTTTTTTGGCAACGTTATATATATACACCCACACTATTCTTTTGGCTGCATAACATTATGTAATTTAAGCAGTTTCTTCCTGGTGAATGTTTACGTTTGCAATCTTTCCTCTACAAACAGCACTGTTAAGGACATCCCTTTACATTTATCTTTGTGCATGGGTGCACATGTATCTAGAGTATGAGTTCCTAGAATGTGCCTTTTAAATAGTGTTTGTTTTGGCCCAGTTGCCCTGCAAAGAGTGTACCAGTTTACTTTCCATCAGTGTATGTAAGTGCGGTTTCTCAACACTCTTGCTAACACTTCTATTATCAGGTCATTTGTTCTTTGCCATTCTTCTTCTTCTTCTTTTTTTTTTTTTTTTAACATTTGATTGATTTTTTACAGAGAGGAAGAGAGAGGGATAGAGAGTTAGAAACATCAATGAGAGAGAAACATCGATTCAGCTGCCTCCTGCACATCTCCCACTGGGAATGTGCCCACAACCAAGGTACATGCCCTGGACCGGAATCGAACCTGGGACCCTTCAGTCCGCAGGCTGACGCTCTATCCACTGAGCCAAACCAGTTAGGGCTGCCATTCTTCTTGATGAAAATGATATTTTGATGTGGTTTCAAATTGTCTTTCTGTTGTTTTGATCCAGAATGATTTTGTACAGGAAGAATAGCTCAGGGCTGCCAGGCCACTTCTTACTCATCATAATCATCTCTGCTGCTTTTCTAATTCCTGTTTTTCTTTGCCTTGGAGCAAAAGTGAGACAGACTTGTTCAAAAAAAAAAATCCGTTTGGGGAAAGAACATTGCATATATAATGACTAGATTACACATTTAAAAAAAACAAACACTGAGTCCATTTATTTGACCCATTTCTCTTCTCGTTTCCTAGGCTGCCACTCTTTCCTCTATTCCTTTTATTCCTTTCACCAAAGGACCTCACACTAGTCAGAGACATGAGAACTTCAATCTTCCTTCTGTCTGAACAGATTTTTCCAAATAAAGTTCTCCAAGAATTATTAGCTTATTTCCTTGGCGGTACCTGAAAATTATTTCTACTCATCAAACCAGCAGTAGAATCACAGTTCTGTAAGGGCTGGGCTTTTCACTGCTGTAACCCCAGCCCTAAGATAATGCCTGACACACATAGATACTCATCAGCGTTATATGTATGTATGTATGTATATATATAGTAGTAAAACCTACATAATATAAAATTGACCATTTTAACAATTTTTAAGTGTACAGTTCAGTGGCATAGAGTACATTTACATTTCATTAGTTTTCTTTCGGATGAATGCATGAGTAGTGATACTTGTGTTTTGTTTCTGAAATTAACAAGAGCCAGATGGTCTTTTAATTCACATTGTTCTTTCCTCCAGACGAAGTCATACGGAAGCGTCTCCTAATTGATGGAGATGGCGCTGGAGATGATCGAAGAATTAATCTGCTAGTGAAAAGTTTCATTAAATGGTGCAACTCTGGATCCCAGGAAGAGGGGTATATCTTTTCACTGTTGTTTCTATACCACTGTCCTCATGTGATTCTAGGCCTTATACACAGTTCTGATAATATTGCAGATTTTCACCCACCTTAAATGTCCAATCGAGTCAACTCTTGGTTAATCGAGTGGGTTTTTCTGGCCTTAATTCTCTGGAGAGGCCTGCTTTATGTTTGTTAAAAGGTGTAGAAGGCATAGTGACTAGAAGAAATGAAGATTAAATCCAGGCTCATTATTTAGTCACTTTTAGCAGATATGTGTTTAAATATCTAAATAAAATGTTCTTTTTTTAATAAGCTAATAGGTTGCTGCAAAGTTTTATACATATTTAATAATTTTTAAATTAGAAAAATTTTCCTCATTTGAATTAGCTTTTCACATAGACAAATAACCATATAGAGTGAAAAAATTGTGAGAATTGTGAAGACAAAAAATCTGATCAAAACATTTAAAAAAGTAAAACAAGTAGCTGTTTAAATTAAACTTATACTGATAGGAACAACAATACCATCTTTGCATTTTTAACTAAAGCAGTTATAAACTCAAGTGTACTATATTTGGGGAAAGAAAACAAGGGACAGATAGTCTAAATTATTTAAAGTAAAGCAAAGGATTCTCTCAGAACTTTATGTAATTTAATTAGCAAATGTTTGCCTACACTATAAATAGTTCAAGTTTGGTAATCCGCAAAAACCTTTATTCCGTTTTTCTCTCTTTTTTATTAGTTACAGCCAGTACCAACGTATGCTGAGTACACTGTCCCAGTGTGAATTTTCCATGGGCAAAACTTTGCTGGTATATGATATGAATCTCAGAGAAATGGAAAATTATGAAAAAATTTACAAAGAAATAGGTAAAGAAACCTAAATTAATTAATCTTTAGCTATAATTTTAATTTTTATGGCCTAAGGGAAATAATACTTGCAAGTATTTTTCTTTGATTAGTAATAAAATAATGACAATAACAATATTAATAGAAAGAATATAGTAAAATCAGTTACAAAAATGTATTTTAATATGATATAGTACTTTACAATTTTTTAAAATAATGTCAGCATCTATTTTATTAGCAATGGAACTTAATTTAAAAACACATTTTAAATTTGAAAATGGATGGAGATTATAGATGTTGTTACAACTATCTTAAAAAAACCTTTTTCTATAGAATGTAGCATTGCTGGAGCACATGAAAAAATTGCTGAGTGCAAAAAGCAGATTCTTCAAGCAAAACGAATACGGAAAAATCGCCAAGGTAAGAGTTTTATGGGATTTAGTTAGTGTGCGAATACTTTATTACTGACTAGGATTTTCATGATTTTTTTTTTTTTTTAATGTTGTGAGGTAAAATCTTTAGCTAGAATCAGCCTGAATTGTAAAAAAGAATTAGGAGCCCTAGCTGGTTTGGCTCAGTGGATAGAGCGTTGGCCTGCAGACTGAAGGGTCCCAAGTCTGATTCAGGTCAACGGCACATACTTCGGTTGCAGGCTCCTCCCCAGCCTGGGCCCTGGTTGGGCATAGGCAGGAGACAACCAATTGATGCGTTTCTCTCACATCGATATTTCTCTCTTGTCTTTTCTTCTCTCTTCCACTCTCTCTAACAATCAATGGAAAAATATTCTCGGGTGAGGATTAAAAAAGAAAAAAGAATTAGGAGCCGAACTTAATTCTTCAAAATTATATTATTCTTTAAAATAGAGAAGGAAGGTTATGCTAAAAAAATTTTATTTTTCCTGGATTGAAATGATTATGCAAGTATTTCTTAAGTATTTGTTTTTTTATTTTTTTGTTTTTGTTTTTTTACTGTCTTCAGACCCCTTTGCCTAAATAATATAATGGTTAATCTGCAAAGGCTATTTACACAAGTACATTAGATTTAGGATTTTGTTTGTTGTTTGTTTAATTGGAGTACTTAAAAAAATAATTTAAGCCCACTGAGTTTTTATTAAGTACAAAGCAAGCAAATATTTACAAGCTGCCTAAATAATAAGAGGAAGGTTAAAGTTTTGCTCTCTTTGTTCTTAAATTAGGGTATGTCCTTATTGCAGTCCATAAAAACAATTTCAAAACAATTTTTAAAGGCAGAGGTATTGTTCCTCCTATAATGTAAATTGAAAGAAAGACAGAAAGAAATAAAATGTATAATTAGAATTGTGGGAGAACCAAGATGGCGGCATAGGTTAACGCCGGAGTTTGCTGCTTTGAACAACTACTTCAAAAGTGAAACCAAAAAATGGAAGGGACATCACCCAGAACCACAGGAACGCTGGCTGAGTGGAAGTCCTACAACTAGGAGGAAAGAGAAACGCATACGGACACTCAGAGGAGGCGCAGTGCTGAAGTCAAATTCTGAGGTTCGGAGTGCGCGGAGAGGGCTGGCGGCGGAGGGCGCGGTTGGCGTTTTCAATCGGGAGGGAGTCGCAGACTCTGAGCTCCAGATCCGGGCGAGTCTTTAGGGACCCAGACTCAAACGGGAGCAGCGGGACTGTCTGGCTTCGGTCAGAGCGAGTGCAGCTTTCTCTCCGAGCTTTGCAGCGGGTGCTGGGACTCAGAGAGGCAGAGCCCCTGGGGACAGGACTGAGAGCCGCCATAACTGCTCTCTCCGGCCCACCCTGTTGATCCTGTTCGACCCGCCCCGCCCAAGCCCTGCACAAAGGCATTTGCCGGATAGCCTCAGGCAAAGGCTAGATTAGCACCTCCCTAGAGGACAGAAGTTCTCTCACTGCTGACACAGCTGATTCTCATAGCCACTTGGCCTGGAGGTCAAACCCTCCCTGGAATTAGCTACAACAATCAAGATTTAACTATAAGACTGCGAACAAAGACCACTAGGGGGTGCACCAAGGAAGCATAACAAAATGCGGAGACAAAGAAACAGGACAAAATTGTCAATGGAAGATATAGAGTTCAGAACCACACTTTTAAGGTCTCTCAAGAACTGTTTAGAAGCCGCCGATAAACTTAATGAGATCTACAAGAAAACTAATGAGACCCTCGATCTTATATTGGGGAATCAACTAGAAATTAAGCATACACGGACTGAAATAACGAATATTATACAGACTCCCGACAGCAGACCAGAGGAGCGCAAGAATCAAGTCAATGATTTGAAATGCGAGGAAGCAAAAAACACCCAACCGGAAAAGCAAAATGAAAAAAGAATCCAAAAATGCAAGGATAGTGTAAGGAGCCTCTGGGACAGCTTCAAGCGTACCAACATCAGAATTATAGGGGTGCCAGAAGATGAGAGAGAGCAAGATATTGAAAACCTATTTGAAGAAATAATGACAGAAAACTTCCCCCACCTGGTGAAAGAAATGGACTTACAGGTCCAAGAAGCGCGGAGAACCCCAAACAAAAGGAATCCAAAGAGGACCACACCAAGACACATCATAATTAAAATGCCAAGAGCAAAAGATAGAGAGAATCTTAAAAACAGCAAGAGAAAGAAACTCAGTTACCTACAAGGGAATACCCATACGACTGTCAGCTGATTTCTCAACAGAAACTTTGCAGGCCAGAAGGGAGTGGCAAGAAATATTCAAAGTGATGAATACCAAGAACCTACAACCAAGATTACTTTATCCAGCACAGCTATCATTCAGAATTGAAGGTCAGATAAAGAGCTTCACAGATAAGGAAAAGCTAAAGGAGTTCATCACCACCAAACCAGGATTATATGAAATGCTGAAAGGTATCCTTTAAGAAGAGGAAGAGGAAGAAAAAGGTAAAGATACAAATTATGAACAACAAATATGCATCTATCAACAAGTGAATCTAAGAATCAAGTGAATAAATAATCTGATGAACAGAATGAACTGTTGATTATAATAGAATCAGGGACATAGAAAGGGAATGGACTGACTATTCCTGGGGGAAAAAGGGGTGTGGGAGATGCGGGAAGAGACTGGACAAAAATCGTGCACCTATGGATGAGGACAGTGGGTGGGGAGTGAGGGCGGAGGGTGGGGCGGGAACTGGGAGGAGGGGAGTTATGGGGGGAAAAAAAAGAGGAACAAATGTAATAATCTGAACAATAAAGATTTAATTAAAAAAAAAAAAACAAAAAAAAACAAACAAAAAAAATAAATAAATAAAAAAAAAGAATTGTGACATATATGAAAAACTAGAAGGAAATGGAAAATGTTAATGGTTATTTGGGGGTTGTACGTTTTTATGGCTTAAGTTTTTTTTGTTTGTCACACTTTTGTTGAATTAATATGCAGATTTCCAAAACAATAAATTTTACTTTTTAACGAATAATTACAATGATGTTCAATTCCTTTTTTTTAAAGTTGTTTTTTTAATTCAGTCTAAAATGCATGTGGTCAAGTTTTGGTGGTGAGTTTACAGCAAGATATACCAATTAATAAATCAATTGTAAATTATTTTTAAATGTTACACATTGTTTTTGTTGACGAGGGCTTTCAAATGAATGCTGCTATTTATCATTTCATAAGAAAGATTAACGGAAGATACATGGTTTATCCTGGAAGTCTCAGTGGAGCAGAAACAAGGTTCCTGAATTTTAAATCATTTCTAGGTTTCTGAAATCTTTGCCTTTAGAATGAGTGAGAAGTACAATTTGCTGTTGTCTAAGGTCTGGACTTAATGGTATGCTACATTTACCTTGCTGATGGTTTATTTGCTGGGCAAATAGTATACAGTCCTCTTTAGAATCATCCACTGGATCAGTAATGACTTAAGATCACGTATGCCTCTGCTGGCCTCTTGTATTCTGCCCATGAAAAGGCAAGTGGAAAACAGAGCAGGAGCTATCGTGCTTGCTTGGAACACTTGAAGTCGTGTGTCATTGCAGTTGTAGCTGAGTCAAGTGACACTGGCAGTACTCTTTCCTTCCTAAAACCTTTCATTTCCTTATGAACTAGGAAAGTGATTTGGAAAGACTTGTGATATTATACATTTTGTTTTGATATCCAGGTTCAAAAAAACCTTAATTTTATATCTTTCAGAATATGATGCTTTGGCAAAAGTGATTCAGCATCATCCAGACAGGCATGAGACATTAAAGTAAGTTTAGAGCTTTACTAGAAAGTAACTAATCTTTATATGTGTTTACATACTGGCCTATGCATTCCATTTTTTTTAGGAATACATAATATGTTTCAAAAGGAGGGACCAGGCTGCCAATATGACATAGTCTAATACTATTAAATAGATATTTTTAATGCTCCTGCCTATACTTCTTGTAGTTCTGAAATAAACACATATAATATGCATCAATATGAAAATGAATAAATAGAATATGTCCTACTTATATAGTGTAATACTAAATAGTAGTTAAAAAGAATAAAGTAGAAATACTCTTTTTGAACACATAATCAGAGAAAAGAAAAACAGAAGATATGTAAGGTGGGGCAAACGTAGGTTTACAGTTGCGAGTGTGAGAAACACAGTTCATTCTTGTATTATTGTTTACTAATTATTGTATTATTTTCCATATGAACAACTGTAAACCTACTTTAGAGATACAAATATATGCTTTAAAAAAGGATTGGAATAATATAGTGATTGCCTGAGTGGGTGGTAAAGGAAGAAAAATGGCTTGGGATAGAGGACTGGGGGTAAGATTAAAAGTGTGTCAAGCAAATCTGCAATGTTTTATTTCTTTTCCCAAAAACCCAACTTGAAATAAGTATGACAAAATGTTGTTAAAACTCATCAATTCTTGGGGTTTGATATTCTGTTATCTATGTTTTCCTATACTTTAAAAAGTATATAGAAGTTTCATTTTAATGAAAATAAATGCATACTTAGAAGTTAAGAATAAATCACAGTAGCTTTAAAAGTCTAATTATAATAGAGTGTTATAACTCATCCTTTTTTTATTTTTAAAAACTAGTAATTAAAAAGTTAGTTATTATGAATTCTGTTCCTCCATTAGCAAAATATAACACTTTTATTGTTTTTCAGGGAACTAGAAGCTCTGGGCAAAGAATTGGAGCATCTTTCACATATTAAAGAAAGTGTTGAAGACAAGGTATTTGCATATATATGTTAGATTTCATGATGTGTATGTTTATAGATCAATGTGTGTTAATTTTTTTCTTGTTAACACAGCTGGAATTGAGACGGAAACAGTTTCATGTTCTTCTTAGTACCATCCACGAACTTCAGCAAACACTGGAAAGTAAGTAGAAATAGTTTAATAACGAATGTTTATAAGGATTTTTAATGGCCCAGGGACATGCCTTCTAAAATATACATCTCAAAGAGAGAGTACATGTTCAATTTTAGAATATCAGTGTAGTTGGATGGCGTTAGAAAGTACTCATGTTGTTCAGCTTTCTGAATATATGCAGAAAAATCTGAATTTGTAGTAATATCTGATTTAAACACATATCCAGTAGTCTATATTAAGAGCAATTTAAGGATAATAGATTTGGAATTTTTTTGGTTTATTATAGTTTATTGCTATAAAGTAACGATGCAGGACCCAGGCAGGTCATAAGTGAGTGAAGTAGTTAGTGATAAGCATATTTGCATACTCAGGAGAATAGTGGGTGCTTTGGGGGAACTGTAGACTTGCTCATGGTATTGATTATAACCAATAGGAAATTTTTGTATTATCTGATCTGATTGTTTTCAAGAAAAGCTAAGACCTAGGTTTTTGTTTAAAGTGAAATCTATCACGTAAGTTTTACATTATTTACATCAGTTTCACATTTACGAATACACAAGAACAACCAAAATGGAACTTTTAAAACCAACCACTTGTGTGTGCTGATTACAGTCATAGGCTATTATTTTGCCATTTTTATTTTAAATTGACTGTCTAATAAAGGATAAACATTTTCATATATTTATTAGACATATAATTTAAGCAAATTTGACTCAAGTTTTATGTTTCTGTCTCAATCACAGATGATGAGAAGCTCTCGGAGGTAGAGGAGGCTCAGGAAACAAGCATGGACGCAGATCCTAAGCCATAGGCCAGCGCTCACCACTCCCCAGCTATTGAAGGAGCAACACGAGCGTAGTGTGTTTAGCATTTGCTGTGCTCTTGAGAAATTTAAAGTTTTGTCAGTGAACTAATTTGCTTTTAAATGTTTAGGTACAGTTCATTCATATTTCTTCACACAAAGGAAAATGACTCTGCTATATATTTGTTTTGTTATTGAAATACCTTTTTTATTCTTAAACTTAAAAGGTAGGAAGCAGCATCCAAAACTATTCAATAAAACTTTTTCAAGCTCATTAGTATTCTAGGAAGTTTTTAACTATTAACATTGATTTGCTTACAAAATAAGCTGAAAGATTGTGAGAAGGTGGTGTTACTAGGATGTCCATGAGAAAGTGAGTCAACTTCTGGAAATTGTTACCACTTTTTTAAATAGGTATAATTGTCCTTTGTTTGTTTGTTTTGTGTGGTTTAAAAAAAATATTTTTATTGATTTCAGGGAGGAAGGGAGAGAGTGAGTGAGAAATAGAAACATCAATGAGAGAATCATTGATCGCCTGCCTCCTGCATGTGCCCTGACAGGGAATCGAACCAGTGACCTCCTGGTTCATAGGCCAACGCTCAACCACTGAGCCATGCCAGCAGGCATTGTTACCACTTTTGAAGTGGAGTATTTGGACAGGCTTCAGGAGGGCTGTGAACTTGCAAAATATGTGCAAAATGTTTGTGGTGTATGGTCATTGTGGGACAGGTTCCATGATGTTAAGAACCACTGGTGTAAAAGGCAGAGCCAGTCCATGTGCATTATTTTCCAGATCGCTCTTCTTAATACTTGAGCAATGTGGTCGTTAAATGTTTTGTTCAGCCCTAGCCGGTTTGGCTCGGTGGATAGAGCGTTGGCCTGTGGACTGAAGGGTCCCAGGTTCGATTCCGGTCAAGGGCACATGCCTGGGTTGCGGGCTTGATCCCCAGTGGGGGGTGTGCAGGAGGCAGCCAGTCAATGATTCTCTCATCATTGATGTTTCTATCTCTCTTTCCCTCTTAATTACTCTCTGAAATCAATAAAAATATATTTTAAAAAAATAATAAAAATAAATAAGTAAATGTTTTGTTCATATTTCCTCTCAACTGTTTTGTTCCTTGGGAATAACTTTCAGTGGAGAAAAGTCGATAAAGTGAAGAGTAATTTTAGAATAGTATATGAATATGGTCTTGCTTAAAGGAATTCGTGACCTTTTTAAAAGTAAACTAAGGCTGAATCACCTGTAATTTTCTTAAGTATTAAATTACATTTTCAATACTTGTTAGGTTTCATCTTTATTCATTTATTTTAGTTCAGAAACATGGCACTTTACATGAATCATACCTTAATAGTGTTACATTTTTATAATTTTAAGAATTTTTATATTTAAAAACATGAAAATTTGAAATTAGCTCAGTTATAGTTATATTAAAAGTGTCATAATACCTTTTTAAAAATATATATTTTTATTTCTGAGAGGAAGAGAGAGAAACCTCAATGATGGGAGAGAATCATTGATAGGCTGCCTCCTGCACGCCCCACACTGGGGATTGAGCCCACAATCCTGGGCATGTGCCCTAACCGAGAATCAAACCCTGGTCTCCTGGTTCATAGGTAGACGCTCAACCACTTAGATACAGTGGGCAAGCAAAAAGTGTCATAATACCTTTAAATACTTCGTTGTATTTAAAGGCAATCATGGGAGAAATATTTTTGCAGAATTGTTATGCCTTAATGTTTCTATTTTTTCATTATTTATAAGAATTATAAAGCAAAAATTTGCTTATAGTAACTTAGAAATAAAAAGTAATTTTTAAAGTAATTTTTTAAGGACTGTGGGGCAGAATATTATAAAAAAAATGCCTCCTCCCCACTGATTCATTCACTAGAGGGATTTATTCAGGATTATGTACCAAAAGGTAAGAATCCCTATGAAGATAACTTTTATGCAATCCAGAACAAAATCAGAAGCAGCAGCAGGTACATGGGAAACACACATTCTTCAGTTTATACTTCCTCATGGTTCTCTTGGAAATCCTCTGGAACTGCTTAGAAGACTGAAGAATTTCGTCCCCTAGAAACTCGCACTGTTGAAGCTCAGCGTGCCTTTGGGCCAGTAACTTCATGGACTTGTCAGTCACTGTTTCTATGAGGTCATCCACCTGTGACAGATAAATACAAAGAAGTGTAGCCATGTGCTGGACAACGCTGTCAAACCTGAGGGATGGTTGTTTTTCCTGAAGATTAATTCAGGAATTGGTGGACATTTTGCACATTCTAAGTATTATTCTAATTCAAGTTGTAGCAAACAGCTTGAAAATACACATTTACAACCCAGTGATAAAGACGATCTCATTTCTTCTCAAAAGAAGCCTATGCGCATGCCTTTATATTAATTGGATTCCCTTTGTGTTTATTAGGCACACAGTACCAACCAAGGTGCCTTCAGCAATCCTTCAGCCACTTTCAAAACGCCCCCACTAACATTATTTCTTAATGGCAGTCATCAATTTCACTGCACAGTCATGCTGTCCAGCGGGGCTGTGCATCCAGCGAAACCCGGCCTGCTGCTGCGTCTGAAACACAGAAGGAAAAGCCTTTGTCCACTACCTGCATTTGAAGCTTTCCTACTGTCAAGTCTGGTTTCCGGAGGACATTTCTCGTGCCGTGTTTCCTCTTTCTAAGTGCTGGAAAGTGTGGTCTCTTTTTTGCGGAGCATGGAGCCTATCACAAAGATGCAAACACACAGATTAAAAAAGCGCCAGCATGACTTTTGTGACAGTGCTTAGGTAAGAATTCTTACAAACTGAACGTTTGCCACATAACAAATGTCAAGTTGATGACCGTATTCATATTTTCTCCACGCCCCATGTATCTCCTTTGTGCCCAGAGCTCTCTTTGAAGAGATCTATAGGGTGCAGAGAATGAGGTTGCCTGGTTCTGAAAGAATATACAGTGTCAGGAAAAAAGCAGGTCAGTCGTAGCGGAAGAAGAAATTGCCTGTGCGGCCACTGAGCACAGTGAGGTGGAGTCGTTATGGACCAGTGCCCGGAAAGCTCATTATCACTGAATCCAGTTGTTAATTTGGTCTTTTTTCTGTAGGTTTCCTTGTTTTCATGGCAGACATGTCTGCAAACATAAAAAAGCTCTGGGTTCTTTTCACCATATGCCTGGTACTTTTCCTCTTGTCCCTGGTGTGCTGGTTGCACGTACCTGCTTTCATGGTGTTGCTATTAGGAATCATTTCTAGGCCATGGCTCCTGGCTAATATGCCCTCTTTGGTCTAATTGGGTTCACTTTCTTCTTCTCTTAATAAATAGCATTAGGACTATTGTGAGACCTGCATAAAGGAGGATATGAGACCACATCTGGGTCCTAGCCCTCGCCTGTGAGGGAGTTTACAAATGCTTGTGCTGAACACACCACTCGGCCCCGGCCAGCCTGCCCAGACTCACATGTCACTTGCAGAACTTCCCGGCCCTGTGTATAGTTGAACTCTCTCCTCTCTCACATAAACTTCAGTACTTTTTCCTACTAAGCACTTACCACCCTTCATAATTACTAAGATATTTCTGTTGGTTGGATACCACTAATGTAAAGTCAAATGCCTAGAGGGGCCAGGCAGTTTTTGTAAAACAACCTGGGGCTGGTGTGAACTGGAGAGAATGTGCCTCAAGCATAGGGGGCAGCCTCTGCAGGGCTCCTGCTGTTGCTGTGAGGAATGGGGGGGGGGGGGGGGGGCCCTAGTGTTTCCAAATCTTCTTAGTTTTCTAACGAAAGCTGAAAAGCCAGATTTTTATTGGAAATATTCTAATTTTTAAATGTGGGCAATTAATTTAAATATATTTTGGGGGACATTCTGAGAGCTAAACAAAACCTCAGAATTTTAAAGCCAGTAGAGAACATTTGATTTAATGTTTTTTGATGAACAGTAATTCTTAATTTTCATATAGCCAAATATATCCTTTTCCCCCCCCTTTTTTAAAATGAATCAGCTGCCTCCTGCACACCCCCCTGGGGATCAAGCCCACACCCCAGGCATGTGCCCTAACCAGGAATCAAACTAGTGACCTCTTGGTGCATGGGACGGCCCTCAACCAACTGAGCCACATTGGACAGGGCTCCATCTTTTGTGGTCAGGGATGTGTTCTAAGAAGTCTTTATACTGAAATCATGAAGCTATTCTGTGTCCTTAAAAAGTTTTAAGGTTTTACCTTTTCTATATCTATTACCAAACAGGAACTAAACTTTTTATATGGTGTGAGATAGGGATCAAATTTCATCTTATTCCCCACATCTGCCCATCCCAGCACCATTTGTTCAAATGATTATCCTTACCCCATTAGTCTGCAGTGCCATGGTTTAATGTCTGTCTCTTCTATTAAACTATAAATCCCACAAAACACCACCATGTCCATAGGATCACCTTTGTGGCCCTAGAACTGGGAATTAACAAGCACATAATAGGAATAAAATAAGTATGAACCTTGCACACAAAAGAGGCAAGATTCTAAACTAATACTGCACTCTAGTGATGGCTTAGAGCACTGCTATGTAATAGAACTCTCTGTGGACAGGAAATGGTCTTTATCTGTCCTATACAACTGCCACTAACCACATGTGGTTGTTGAATACTTGAAACGTAGCTAGTGCAATCAAAGAAATGAACTTTGATTTAATTTAAATTTTATTAACAATAGTCACATGTAGGTGTTGGCTACCATATTGGATGATGCAGTTAGTACTAAGCATGGTAAATAAGCGTAAGGACTCTATAGAGCCAGGTCTTCCTGGGTCTGAAGCCTGACTTATTTGGACAAATGACTTAATCTCTGTGCCATCTCTAAATAAGGAGAACACTGCCATACGCTATCGGGCTGTTGTAAGAATTACCTGAGAAGTTAAAGCACTTAGGGCCTGGAGCATAGCTTTACGTAAATGTTATATTTAAACTAATAATAGTTTTGGCTATTTTAAAAAATAATCTGAGCAATTTAGGCTCAAATTTCCATACCTACAGATAAATACAAGCTTTGGATTGGAGAGTCCTGGATGGTCTAGGGTTGCACTGTCTGTACTTCCTATACATGTGGCTATTTGCATTTTAATTACAAGTGAAATTAAATCAAATTAAAAATTCAGGTTCTCAGTTGCACTGGCCACGTTTCAGGTGTTGGAAGCCACATACAGCTAACGCCTACTACTGCCTTGGCCAGATGTACACTCGCATCCTCAAAGAATGTCTGCAGGGCAGAGCCTGTCCCAGGGATTGCT